CAACTATTTTGTAGTTATCTATATATAAATCTATTTTACAGCGACACAAATAGAATAGATTATGGAGTGTCAGCATGTAGATAGATTCCAAGTGCTTTTTCACTAATATACCTAATGATTCGTGCTGAGAATATCCAAGGGCTCCACTGTACATTTAAATGGATATAATTAAAATAATGAGCTCTATTTTAAAAAATGATATATGAAAAAAAATTTTTAAAGAAGTTAGAAGGAGCCGCACCACTAATTCAAAGTGATATAAGTACTTCTGCAATTCCATTGTTATTAGGACACCTAATTAAATGCAAAGCATCTGAGAAAAGCAACATTTGGGCTTGTAAATCTAAAGCGTGGAAGTCGGGGGAAGAGAAGTAGCCCGAGTCCTCGGTGAGGCAAAGACTGGAGGGCTTCAGGTTCAAGGGAGGGGATGGTTATGTGCTGTCCTGCCCGTGGGCGACACAGGGTGGCTGACATAGCCCCTACCTTCTGTGGGCTAAGTCGGGAGTCTGGCTGGTCCTACGGCAGCAGCTGCATTTGTTCATGTGGCCTCTGGTTCGTTCGGGGTGGGTAATATGGGCGCAAGAACTAAGGGGAAGCTGTTTTCCCATGGGAGGAAGCCATTACCCTGTTCCCTCCACAAACCCTAGGTGTTAGAGGCACTGCAGGTGACCTGAGGCAGGTAGTTCAGTGGAAAGGACAAAGGGTGGGATGTCAGGAGACATGGGTTTGAGTTCAGCTTTGCTCCATGCTCTGTGCCTTTGGAGAGGGCCTCTCCTGGGATTGTGTTTGAGCCAGGCCTGTTCCAAGGATGGCTGTCCCCTCTGCAGACCCATCCCAAGATCCACTCAGCTGTCCAGTGGGCCCCACGGGGTTATGCGTATCGGGAGGCAGGTATTCTTTAGGTCACTCAGCAAACAGTACTTACGGAGTACTTACTGTGCGTCCACTGATGGCAGGAGTACAGCAGTGCACAGGACTCCCAAGGGCTCCACCGGGTCTTAGGGCAACTTTGTGAGTTGATTAACGGACAGGGTATTTGCAGAGAGCTGCTAGGGCTGCAGAGGAAATGAAACAAGGCAATGAGCTAGAAGCTAGACCGGGAGGGCAGAAGGGTGACCAGTGAGCCAAGATGAGTCCATTAGATCACCGTGTGAGGACGGCTGTCAGAGTGTCACCTGTTTGAGGAAACCCGAGCAAGCCAGGAAGGCTTCCCAGACGCGAGGACATCATCGTGAACCAGTGTCGCCGTCACAATGGCAGCTGCCATCTGTGGTGCCAGCCCCAGCTGGGCTCCTTGTAGGCATCGTCTCCTACCCCTACAGCTGGCAAGGGTCATGGTACTCCTTTAACAGCCGAGGAAACTGAGGCTCAGAGGGGACAGTCTCTTGCTCAAGGTCGCAGGGCACGTGGGTGGGCGGATGAGAGTTCTGCCCAGCCTCTGGCTCCCGCAGTTTCTCCTTCCCCAGCTGGGGGCCGAGGTGCTGGTGAGGACCTCGGAGTAGGCAGGGACACTGAGTCTGTTCAGATGGGATGGTAAGGTGCCCTCAAGGCTGCAGGCTGAGCTTCAGAATGTTGGCCGGGAGGGGGTCCTGGCTGGGGGCCTGTCCTGTTCCCTCTTCTCCCATCTCTGTGCCCAGCAAGCCTCAAGGACTGACTGACCAGTGGCACCCACGTGGTCTCCACTAGGGAATAGGAATGTCAGCGGCTTCCCGGACCGCCCCGCTGGAACGTTGGTAAACATGGTTCACTACCAGCTTCCATCAGCGGCCACCTCTGCTCCACGAGTGGCTCTAGGCAGGGTCCTCACACCCTCACAGGCCTATATCCCGTTACCCAAAGTGGTAGAGCTGGGATTCGAACCCTCACCCATCTAACTGCACAGCCCACACACTGACACCTGTGCCATGTAAGGTCCTTCCCTTGTGTCCTCTGCATACTCCCCTCCCCTGCCCCCATGGTAAAGATAGGTGCTAGGAGAACATCTGCGCAGGTAGCAGTGTTCTGGGCCCTATTTAGACATTGCCTTGTTGTCTCCGCATCACCCTACTGTGGGTACGTACCGTGTTTATCCCCATTTTATGGACGTGAAGACTGAGGCTCTGAGGGGTGAAGTCACGGACGTAGGAACCAGCAACTGTAGAGTAGCAGTTCCCAGATCTGACCCTGGGATGATCTCACTTCCAAGCGTGGTGCCCATGCCATCTCACTTCATGACATCCTGTGAGGCTCTAACGCCTATCCCGATGGGAACTCTCCACCCCACGACGTCCCCGTTGCTGGTCAGCGGGCATCTCCTCTCTCCAGTGCCACAGCTGTCCTCTCGTGACTTGTCAGACCTGCCGATTCTGCTTATCTCTTGGGGCATCACAGATCTCAGAGGCTTCTCTGCCCCGTGGTGACCCTAAGGCCAGCCGGGGCCGCGCTCCCCGAGATGGGGTGGGGGGTGGCTCTGGCTTTAGATCCTGTCCCCACAGAGGCAGCACAGGCAGCAAAGCCGGGGGGCCCCGTCCTCCCACTCGCCCATGTGCACCTTGCTTTTGACTCTCCTGGAGGCTGGAGGTCAAGAGTGGGTGACGGGCGGCTGCGGCTGTGGGCCGGGGTCGGGGGCGTCCCTCTGCAGGCTTCTCTCCCAGTACAGATGCGTCACAGCTAAGCCCAGGATGGCTGCGCCAGGTCCCTCGTGCCACACATATGACTTTAGACATGTTATTTCACCGCTCAGTGCCTCAGTTTCCTGGACTGTAAACGGAGGTAGTACCATGACTTACCTCCCAGGGTTGTTACTGAGGGTGAGGGGAGTTAGAAGAGCACCTGGCACATGGGAGCCTCTATTTAAGTGTTTCTTAAATAAATTAAAGAAATGAATTCTGAGGCAATTCAATCACAAATGCAGTTTTACATTTCCCGCTGCAGAAAAGTGTAAATGCTCAGACAGTGTCTGGTGGCCCTGGCATGGCAGACACACAAGGAGGCGGCATCACTGGGCCCACTGAGGGCCGAAGATGCTCCAAGTGTGTCATTTATAACAGTAACAGTGACCACATCTGGAGAGCGGTTACAGCCAGGCTCTGTGCTGAGTGCTTTCCTTATGTTAGTTGACCAAAATGTGCGTGACAGCCCTGTTAGCTCCATTTTGCAGATGGGGAAACTGAGGCTCAGGGGTCAGGTGTCTAGCTCAAGGCACACGGTGAGGAAGTGGCTGCCCCGTTTTCCCGAGCATGCTTTTTCACTCCTGCCCTGTCCGTCTGCATCCTGGCCTCTGAGCCCAGCAGTCTGCTCGGGCTGCTGTGCCAATACCGCAGACTGGTGGCTTGATAAACAACAGAAATGCGTTTGCTCACAGTTCTGGAGGCTGGAGGTCCATGATCAGGGTGCCAGCGCGGCTGGGATCTGGTGAGGGCCCCTTCCTGGCTGCTTAGGGCCATCCTCTTGCTGTGTCCTCAGATGAAAGACAGAGCAGTCCCTCTCTCTTCTTCAACCCAAAGGACCTCATTTAACCCCACGTATTTCCTAAAGACCCCATCTCCAGATACAGTCACACTGGGGGTTGGGATGTCAACATGAATTTTGGAGGAGAACATAGTTCATTCCATAGTACTTCCCTGTGGCCTTTTTCTCTCCACTTGGTAGCTAAGGCCTTCCCTCTCTCCCTCTCTCTCTTTGCTCAATTTCCCAACTTTTCTGCATCCTGGGAGAGAGCTGGAGCTGAGAGGGACAGCAGACGTGGTAAAACCCATGCTGCTGTGATAGATGGGGCTGCTGCCCAAGGCCACACAGCAAGCCACATGGATCCCAGGTAGGAGCCCAGGTCCCTGCCACCTGGCCCGGCACCTCTGCTGTGCCCCATTCGGTGCCCGTGTGCTGTGCCTGGAGGCTGGGCCTTGAAATTCACAGTCCACGTTCCTCCACAGAGGAGGGGAGAGGGCTGGATGTGGTCAGTGCGGCATCCTCAGGCCTGGAGCCTGACTCAGTTTCCCTCTCTGTGTGTGCCTTGGCTTCCCCACCTTCAGAAACAGCAACAAGGTGACACTTCCCCTTGCCAGAAGGACGTGGGGGCCCTTTAAGGTAACACAGGAGTCGTGTCGAAAGGAGAACGGTTCAGGAGTGGATAGTAGGCACCTGTTTCATGCCTTGGCCTGCCTCCAATTTTATGTACGGCCTGAGCAGTCACAGCTCTGCTCTGGGCCCAGTGTCCCCGTCACGAAGGTTCAGTGACACATGCCTTGCTCACTTCAATACTGACCTCATTATCTTGATATTTTCTGATGTTTGAAGAGCCACCTACGTGCTGAAACATTGGCTCCATGACACTTCCGCCAAGTGAGCTTTGTGTTGCCCTGTAGTTTCCCTGTGTCGGGTATAAAACAGGAGCGGGGAAGAGCTGGGATGCAATCTGGAGCCCTCATGCCTAGGAACAAAGGGGCCAAAAGCACTGGACACTTTGTGTTCAGCAACTCACTTAAGCCCTTGCTGCTTAGAGTGCAATTTGAGCACCAGCAGCGCTGGTCCCACCCGGGAGCTTGTCAGAAATGCAGGACCTCAGGCCTCACCCAGCACCCGCCTTGCTAGAATCTGCATTTTGTCAAGATCCCCAGCCAGTTTGTAAGCACTTCAACATTTGATAAGAACTGATTTCAACCAGCCAGAGGCACCCTCTTAGGTCTCTTGTAATTCCAGTTGTGATGAAGTGCAAATAAGTGGCAGGTGAGGCAGCTGGGCACATCTGGACCTCTTTAGACCTCAGCTTCCCCAACTGTAAAATGGATGGAGTTGGAGCCATACTGGGCCAGTGGTTTTCAAACTGTGTTCCCTGGAGCCTCGGGGTTCCCTAGAGGAGCCTCCAGGGCAGCCATGGGGGCGTGTAGGAGGCGAAGTGGGCTGGGGGCCCTGCTGTTCACTGTATACACAGCCTTGCGTGTCTCTGTGGTGTCCTGGGCTGGTGGGCTCCCATGTGGGGCTGGGTCTGGGGTCCACCCCGAACAGACTCTCTTCTTCTCCAGGGAGCGCTTGAAGCGCAGCCAGAAGAGCACCAAGGTGGAGGGCCCAGAGCCGGTGCCGGCTGAGGCCTCGCTGAGTGCCGAGCAGGGGACGATGACGGAGGTGAAGGTGAAGACGGAGCTGCCCGATGACTACATCCAGGAGGTGATCTGGCAGGGCGAGGCCAAGGAGGAGAAGAAGGCGGTTGGCAAGGATGGGGCCGGCGAGGTGCCTGCCGAGATCTGCGTGGTGATCGGTGGCGTCCGCAACCAGCAGACCCTCGGTGAGTGCCCGTCCTTGGCGGCCGGGGCTGGGGTCGGGGTGGGAGCGTGGAGCCTGGCTTCTCTGCCCCTTCCCCGGCTGAGGGCTCCCCTCTGCCCTCAGGGAGAGAGCCGAGCTCCTCAGCCCTTGCCTTTGCTTGCGCAGGTCTAGTCTGCAGAGTTCTTCTCTTTCTTTCTAGTGCCGCAAAACCCTACCCATTGCTCAAGACCTTGTTTGAGTCAAATGCCTGGAACCTTCTGTGGGCCCAGCGAATCTGTATGCGTCGGGACTCCCACAGCCCTGGCGGGTCTAGCACAGCCCTTCTCGCTCGGTGTCATAAATGCCTGTCTGCTTTTCTCCCGCCTTGAGGGAGGGAGATCCCAGCCCAGGTCCTGCCCAGAGCAGATACCCAGTCAGGATCGGCTCAGGGACAGACGGCCCCTGCCCCTGCCTCTCCTGGCCGGGCCCGGCCCCGAGGAGCTCCGTGGGAACTGGCATCTCAGTAACGACTTCTCCCCCTCGGGTCTCCAGCACGAGCCAGGGCTCCCCAGGTTCACAGACGCAGATGCCCACAAGACCCAACAAATGGGAGCAGTTAGCATGACAGAGATGAGCCAAGGGGACAGGTGGCGGGGACCGTGTCTGCGTCCAGCAGGCTGCGTGTGCGGGTGGGGCTGTTCCCAGCTGCTGCGCCAGTGGTGGCTAGGTGGGTCACAGGCCCAGCACTGCCTCATCTCTGGACAAGGCACACCCCAGAAAGGAAAATTTGACACGAATGCTTTTGGCTTTAGATGTCGGCAACCAATTCGTCTTTTGAGATCAGCCAAACAAAACGTGTCTTTGGGTCAGAGCGTGCGAGGCCTGGTCTGTGAAATAAAGTCCCCGTTCCTCAGCCAGAGGCCTTGCCTGGTCCTGGCCCCAGACTTCCGTTTCCGCCTGCGCCCTCCTCTGTGTTTCCCATGCCCGGCGTGTTCTTAGAGGTGCTGCCAGCGCCTTCCTCTCCGCTGCCCTCCCGGCCCAGCTCCGCGCGGCTCCCGGGCTCATGGGGAGGCTCCCTGCGTCTGTTTCTGGGAGTTTAGACTCAAGTCCTGCTGCCTGTTCTTCCCAACTGCTGGGGATCAGCCTGGAACTCGCTCTCCCGGCTGTTGCTCTGCTGGCGGTGGCCGTCGCCAGCCCCACCTGGGGCATCGCAGCATGTCCCCTCTCCCCCAAAGGCCGTGTGTGTGTGTCTCCCTGCCCGCTATTACCTGCCCTCCGCTCTGGCCACCAGGAGGCAAAAACAAAATGCAAGTGTCGCTCCCTTGCTTCTAAACGTCAGGACTCTCCATTGTCTCTGGAGTCTGGGGCGTGTCATCAAGACCCTCCATAACCTGGGCCTGTTTCTTGCTTCTGATCTCCCCCGACCTCTCATTCCAGTGCAGTCTGCTCTTCCTCTACTTTGCTCATGCTGTTCCCTCTCCCAGGAAGGCCTTGCCCGTTTCCACATGCCCAATCTAGCCCATTCTTTAAGGCCAGCTCCAGCGCCACCTCCTCCCAGAAGCCTTCCTCGGTCTCTTCTGGTCGGACTGGTCTGTTTCTACCCTGCCCCTCACTTGGGGGCACTTCCCACTGTCTCTTTGGGTTAGAGGGGCCCTGTCTGTGCCTGGAGATTGGGGGCCCCTAGAGATTGGAGCTCCAGGACCTGCCTGATTTATGTCCCCATGTTCCCCCCGTCCACCTCACAGTGCCTTGTAAAGCGTTGGCTTCTGGGAACGGCGATGTCGACATCGGTGCTGTGACTGTTAGGATGGGACCAGGTCATGCCACAGTAACAAAAGACCCTAAAAGCGACACGAGATCTTGATAGCTCAGAACCACAAAGGTCTATTTCTAGTCCACACTGCACGTCCACACTGCACGTCCACCGTGAACGCGGGGCTCCCCTCTGCTCTGGAGCCAGGCCGAGGGCCGTCATCGCGTGGAATGGTGCCAGCGAGTGACGGGGAAGGCGAGCTCTGGAAGGGCTCACGCTGGCGATTAGCTGCTGTAGGCAGGCACAGCGAGAGACCTCGAGGTGACTCCGCTCACAGTCATTGGCCGCACAGATCCCAGGGCCCCACCCAACCTCAGAGAGGCCAGGAAATGCCACCCTCCCACGTGACAGAACGGGAGCGAGGCAGGAATGTTCGGGGAGGAGCAGGGGTGGCAGCCGGCGCTGAATGGGAGAGCGAGTTCCTTCAGGGCCCTCGCCTGCCCTCCCCTCGTCAGTGTCGCCTCCCGAGGCCAAGGACGGCGCTAATCGCTGGTGGATTTGTTGGCTAATGGAAGGGAGGACCTGTCTCGCCTGCTCCCTTTGGTGTTAAGACTCAGCTAACCCGGTAGCTGTTTACGCCCTTCACCGGGAGATGCCCGGGGTGGGGGTGGGGGGGGTCGTTGAATCTGAGTCTTGGGATGGAGCCAGCGGTCTGGATTCAGCAGGGAAAGCGGCCCAGGAAACGTTGGGGGGATCTTCCCCGTGCAAGCCCTGGGGCCCTCCAGCTTCGTGCCAGCCGCCCATGCTGGTGTCCAGCTCAGCTGCCACGCACCAGCAGGGCCCTCGTCTGTTACATGAGGCGTGGTCCCTGTCCCGGCCACCTCACAGGGGCGGGCACGCAAAGCAGCCGTGGAAGGGAACGGTGTTGCGTGCAGAGGATGAGCTGGGGTCCTTGGGCTCAGAGTGAATCAGGCTCTAGGACTTGGTAGGTGTGCTGCCTCGGGCCGGTCCCTTGTCCTCTGTGCCTCAGTCCCCACAACTGCAAATGTATGGGGCTATCTGAGGCTGCACGGAGAGAATGCATGCAGAGGCTCAGCGTCGCGCTTGGTAAACGGTGAGCTGTTATTCTCGGTAGTGCCAGTATTAATAGCATAATGTACTTCTTCAAGGGGCAGGAGTAGTGATTGTTCCTGCTTTCCTTCCCAGTCTAAGAAGGAAGCTGGTGCGATGTGGAGAAACAGTGGCACAGGGAAGAAAGCTGGCGCTGGGTAAGGTGTCAGAAGACACAGGTTCTAAGTGGGCTTCGGCTTTCTCATCTACCCGGACAGGGAACCTGCTCGGCTCCTGCTGTCCTTCTAGTACTGCCGCCCTCGGATTCGGGGACTTGGAGCACCTTGTGGAACTTTGGAGTAACCTGTTTGTGGCAGGCCCTTGTGAAAAAGATACACAAGCCCCAGTGGCAAGTTATAACTGGAGCCACCGGTTTGGAGTCCTTTCAAAGCAGGGCCAGGTGCTCCCCGCTGGTCGTGGTGGCTCATCTTGCGTGGTGAAGCCAGGCCTTCCTGCCCGAGGGTGTCGGGGAGGAAGCCAGCTTGGCCTCATCACCCAAAGAGGAAGATATTAAAACATCAACGTTAGCGTTGAGCCTCATGAACTCACTCATCTCAAAATGCCAAGCAGATTTCTCTTACGGTCCAAGTCCAAGCAGTTGCTACTGGCTGTTCTGTGTTAAAGATTCTAAAGGTAGTGTGATCGATTGTTGATGTCTGCCCTGGATGTAAAAGTGGGTAGCGGGACTACACGTGCTATCAATCTGACACATTTGACCCCCTCTTTTTACAGAGGGGCAGGCAAAAAAAAAAAAGAGTTGCCCAGGGTCACTCAGCGAGTTGGGGACATTTTCTTCCATGTCAGGAAGGGCCCACTCCACCTCATAGCATCAGCCTCCCATTTGCTTCTGAAAGTACAGCAAGTAGAGAAAAAACTCCCGGGACACAGCTGGGGGTGGGATGGTGGTCAGAGCCGGGCCTTTCAGCAGGCTCGTGCCACAGTGAGCCCTCTGTGCCCCGGTGGCCGGGCTCAGGGGAGTTAACACGTCCCGAGGCCCTTGGCAGGGGAGTGCCTGGTGAGCAGAGCCAAGGGCCTCCTGAGTGCTCTGCTCCCCGGCCTCACTCAGGCCTCAGAGACGGGGCTCTGTTGCAGAGTAGAATGGCGTCCCTGTTTGGTCCCCCGGTGCTGTGCCATGAGGGACCTCCCCGAGTCCACACTGGCCCCTTAATAGCCATCAGACAGTGTTCCCAGTGACACAGACATCATCCCAGGCACTTCCCATGGAGGAGCTCGGGTCCTGGGCACGTGGGGGGCTCTTGGCAGCTCTGGCTCCCAGCCGGGACTCTGGGGGCGTCGGAGCCCAGGAGGCTGGCTGCCAAGTCTGCGGCGGCGGCTGCTGCTTCCTGCTGCCCAGAGGATCCGCGTCTGAGAAGGGCGCCTCGCGCTCTTAGAAAGCACGTATCCGCCAACTGGAGCTGGTGTGCCGTTCGGGGACAGGACCCAGGGCTTCCTTTTTTAGCAAGAAGAACAGAGGTCGTACTAAGCTTGATGACATTGTTGGGTAAAACCAGAAGGGAAAGGAAGCGAGTTAACAGATGCCTTTGCCCGCCTGACAAGCAGCACGAGCAGCTCTGCACAGCGGCCGAGGAGGAGCGGCAGAGCCACGCTCAAGGTTGCAGGAGCTCCTCCTCTGTGAGGAACGATAAGGCGTGAGACGCTGCCATTCCTGCCGCCCAGGTCCACATTCACGGCAGGCATTGCTAATCGATCGCTGTACACCGCCCCAACAGCGCACCTCAGAATCCTTCTCAACACAGTGCACCAAGAAGTCACAGCCAGTCAACTGGACTTGAAAAATTGGGAAACCTACTTGCCATTCTTGTTCTTGAGGAAGACAAGGCAAGCAGGGTTTACAATGAGGGCATCAGGGATAGTTTCCTGGCTCCAAGACACAGGGATGCCGGGATCTCATCATGATGGTCAAAAAGTACTTTCGAGCAGTGGGTGTTCCTGCCTGTGCTGTGAGACTGTTGGTCTTTAATCCAGAGGTGGTTACAGATGAGGGAGCCCAGGGAGAGCCACAGGGGCCTAGAGACCTGGTGGAGGGTGGTCCCGAGATCCCCAGTGGCGGTGCAGGAGCCCGTGGAGGGAGGGAGTGGCCCAGATTCAACTGGGCTCCAGTTCAGATGAGGGTCGTGGACCAACCAGGGTATTTCCAGAGAGTTAGCTCAGCGTGGGAAGAGCCCCCCAGAAAAGCTAAGGGCTGTTTGTCCTGGGAGGAGAGACTAAGGACCGTGAGGGGATGAGGAGGAGGATGGTAGAGTTTAAGTGGTCACAACGTGTAGCATTTTGCAGGGGACAGGCGGAGCAGGCACAGTCCAGGAAGCTCCAGCCAATGTGACGAAGTCACCAGGAGGAGGGCTTTCAACTCAATGACAGGAGTGACTTTGTGATTGTGGGAACTGTTTGGTAACTGGAAACAGGCCCGCGAGGGGGTGAGTTCCCTGTCCCAGACCAGGTGCTCAGGGAGGGTCACTGGGCAGGTGCAGGAAAGGGGATGTCAGGGCTCAGGTAGATGGGAGGTTGGATTCTGCAAGGACGTTTCTGGGCAGTGAGCTTTGCACCAAGGGATGGAGGGGTTTGCCCACACACGGGGCTGCCGGGGGAGCCGGGGAAGGAGGAGGAAGGCGGTGGCTGGGCCATGGCCCTGGAGGGAACAACAGAAGAGCATGCCAGCCATTCAGACATGGCCACGTGGGTTTCAGCCCGTGATAAACCCAAGCAGCGTAGGTGCCAGGTCCTGCTTCATAGTGCCAGCTGATAGTTCGTTTCCTGTTTCAATAGGCTGTTGGCAGGGCTTCGCGCCTGAGCCTGCCAGAACCAACACTCAGCTCTTTGCTGCAGCCACTTGGAAAGAAGGGTTCTGGCTGCCATCCCAGGCGCGTCCTGTCTTTGCTACTGACTCTTCATTTGGTGGTCTCAGGCGGGAAGGGGGTCCTGGTTGGAGGGCCCCTGGGCTGTAAGTCAAGAGATCCACGATCTACCCTGCTGTGGGGCCGTAGACAAACCCCTTAACCTCTCCGCGGCACGGTGTCTTGAATCGTGAGTGGGTGCAATAAAAATCTGCCCGTCTTGACAGTAGAATCGTTGGGGGCAGAGTGAAGTCATATGTATGAAAGTGTTTTTAAATGGGGACAAAAAATGCAAAACAGTTGAAGCTGAAGGCTCAGGCTGCTGGTACCTCTGGGGTTACACCTCTGGAGGGACAGGAATGTAGAAGACCGATGGTTTCAGACTCTCTCTGTTCACTGTCACCGAAAACAACTTTGAAAAACTGTATGTCCTCTTTCACATGTTTGCGTTGATATCTAACATTTTTATCCAAAGTTTAATCAGAAAGGATATCATTTCCAGAATATTCTGTAAAAAAAAAAAAAAAGAAAAAGAAAAAAAAGAAAAAGGTGGCATTTTGGAAATAAAACTGTGAACCACTCTTTTAAATGTATCCAAGGGATCCAGACACCTCTGCTATTTGATAGCCACCATCATCACTTAAAAAACATACGAAAAAGCTCATCTTTAACAGTCAGAAATTTTACGTCTTTCCTTCTCTCCTTGAACTCATATTTCCGGTCCACTTCCCCCACAGGGTTTCAGCCTAATGTAATATATTTTTTATGCTTGAAAGTCTTTTATTGATCAGTGTTTCACACTCATCTGCCACAACAAGAGGTACATAAATTGAAATTGAAATTTCTAAAAAAAAAGAAAAAATTTCCTGGGATCATAAAGCTGTACCTTCTAAAACACTTTTTTTCCTCCCAGATTGAGTTGTTATTAGCATACAATTCATCAGAAACAAATTTGGATAAATAGCAGATGTAAAAGTAAAAAAATTATTGAAAATGCACCTCTTGATGAAAAGAATAGGGCTTTCTTTCTTTCTCAATTGGCTCACGTATCTGTGAATTAATATTTCTTACTGCTAGAAGGAGACAGGATTCCTTCTCCTGTCTCTCTAAATAGCATTAATTCCTGTTTGGGGGGGGGGTTGTAGGTGTAAGTGCTTAGAAAGCCCGATCACATTTACGGAGCTGGCTCCGGATGGAGTTCCGTTTTAGCAGTGTCACTCAATTCTTTGAACTCCTTCCAAGTTGTATGCCAAACATCGCACGGGGGTCTATCATCAGACAGTATTTTTAATGGTCTCTTCACTGACAACTCCATTATATCCTCCTTCAATTTTGTTGAAAGCAGAGAATTGGAAACGGCCCGATTCAAAAGAGGAGTTGTTCCTGGTCATTGGATCCACTCACTTTCTATGCCTGACACTGATATTTGGGGTCATCTCTTTGCTCAGAGCCCCGAGATTTTTTTTCCCTTGGGGAAGGCACCATAGCAGGATTGGAGGTGGGTGAAGGAATTGTCTTTTGTTTGTAATGTGGGAGAAGGGTGACCATGCAAATGGAAAAGACAACCGGTGAGTGGAGTCTCCCCGCCTGCCCCGTTCTCTGGTGTGCTGAGTTTAGGAAAGAACGTGTTTGGAAGTTGGTGATATTCCTGAGACTACTTGTGCTCACATAGCCCTGGGAGCAGCCTCCACACATGCCCAGGGCATTGTGTTCTATTGGGAAGACCCTGCTCCAGAGGACCTCAGGAAACCCACTTGTCCACGACTTCCCTCTCCAAGTCCCCTGTCCTCCGGCGAGTCCCTGGGCGCAGGCAGCTCTCTTACACCTTCAAACCAAGAGGGCTGGGCACTCCTAAACGTTTCATCTGGGAACAAGCGGTTCCTGAAAGACTCCGGGCCAAATACAGGACCACACATCGTAAGGAACCATCTCTCTGTCCCCACCCTTGGTTGCTCTTCTCTCATGCACCTGCTTTGGATCTCTGTCTTATTGCCCTTTGTGTATCCTGAAAGGTTTTCCAAGCTTCTCTCGAGCCAGCCGGTGCTGACGATAGGAGTTGAGGGTTGCTGTCCCGCGTTGCTCCTCAGAGGACTGTCTTCTCCTAGGTGTCTGCCCGTTGCTCCCTTCCCTGACCTCAGCACGAGACCCGCCTCCCCTGGTTTGTCCAGTGCTCCAGGACGGGAGCTAAGCCAAGGTCTCTGCCAGGTGCTTATGGAAAGTGCTGGACAGGAGCTGTTAATGTTCATTTGTCGGGATGGGGACCATGGATTCTTGTTGCATCACTCATGACAGCAGGGGTGGGAGAGGAAAAGGCTAGGCTTCTATGTGCTCACCAGCCCTGCCCGCTGTCCCTAGCAGCCCATCCCTGAAGGGGGTACACAGCTCACCTGGCATCTAGCAGGTGTCCTGGCATGGTGTCGATACAATGGCTCTGGAGGCCTGAAGGTTCCTCGCCAGCCACTACTGAGTAACCCCAGCCCTGGGCATCCTGGCTGCTGGAACCTTCCGCTCATCCTGCAAACGGGTATCGAGTTTCCCCAGCCTCATGAGGACTTCTGGGAAGGTGGAGGATGGAAACGATGTGCTTGGTCAGCGGTAAAGGTTCCCAAGGACCATGTCTTCCTGGCGCTTTCCAAGGGGCTGACTGTGTGGCTCAGGAGCAAGCCAGATCTGTGTGGTCTCTGGTGCTATGTGTCACTTCTCTGCTCCTTGCCTCCTTCATCTGAGAATGGGGATGAAGATCACTTGTATCTGCTGGGGTTGTGAGGGTGACCTGAGTCTGGATTCTGCTCTCACGAGTTGGCAGTGTGAACCGAGGGAGTTGCGGCTCACACCTGCCCCAGCCTCCGCTTCCTCACCTGGGCAGTGGGGGCAGAGGCCAGTCTGTGCAGAAGCGTTGCAGATGAACCTGCTCCACGTGGTGCTTAGCAGACAGGTGGTGACGGTGGCTGCATGCGTGGTTCACAAAGGAAGAGTGCCTGGGGCTGTGGCCGCAACAGAGGAAGTGTGCCAGGCAGGCAGCCAGGTGTCGGGACCGGGAATGATCAAGCCCAGAGTCCCAAGAAGGCCCTCCAGAGCCCCACTGGACCAACCTGGGGTCCATGGTGTCCATGGGCCGGGGTCACACTAGGCCACTGCAGGCCTGGGGCACATCTCCTTGGAGGGTAATTTTGCTGGAAGGGTTTGGGGGAGAAATTTCATGTTCTAGCCAAGTGTTGACTCCGAATACAGAGAAAACACGGAACTTCATGGGGGTTGCAGCCTTTTGCTGCCTCTTTCCACCATACCCCAGCCTCCCGGGGAACACATGGATGCCCCTCGGCCAGCACAAGCTCTTTAGTGAAGATGTAGACGTAGTGTGATCTTGTCCACCCTTCCCGAAGTGCAGCTGGGGAAACTGAGGCCCTGAAAGCACAGGTGGCTAGCCAGCCCTAGATGCAGAGCCCCTCCCTGGCTGACTTTGCTCCTCCCCTGGCATCCCAGGCATTCTCCAACTTTAAGGGCTCTTTCTGATTTCTTACGTAATTCAGATGGAAAAGCGCCCGAAGGCAGCCCCCACGGTGGATCTGTGCGAAGCCGGTATTCAGGGACCTGGATTTTTGACCAAGCATTGAGATATGCATCTGGTACGTGATGGCCGAGGGGCAGGGCCTGAGCTGGGGCCGGCTTGGGGGGAGGCACCACTGGACGCAGCCATCAGCTGCAGACCCCACTGGCGTCTCAGGGCCGAGAGGGGCCACCCTCCCCAACACCCTTCCCCTGCTGCGTGGGAGCACATCTGAGCCTGCCCTGGGGACCGTGGAAGCACGTGGGTCTTGGAGGGATGGTAGAGCATTTGGAGATCTGGAAGTCTAGAATGTCCGGACCATTTTGGCAGCACTTCCTGTGGGCTGCGACTCTGAAACAAGCCAACGGGGCAGATGGCTCTGGGGCCAGATGTGTTTGGGAGCCCCGGGTTACACAGTGGCGGGCTCCCTGCACCGCCGGGCCCCTCCCAGCGGGCCAGCCACGAGGCCTTCCTCATGCCCGCTGGGCCACGCTCCTCTCTTTTCTGAGAGGCGTTTAGAGAGTTGGGTTCCAAAGAAGACACTTCGGAAAATACTGGTGGTAGCAGCAGCTGTCATTTATCGAGCGCCTGCAGCATCCCCAGCACTGTGCTAAGGACACGTGGTATCATTGCTCACACCCCCTCCCCCGAGGTGGGCACAGCTTCACCGCAAGGAAGCCTGAGCTATAGTTGTTCCATGATTTGTCAGGGACTCCCTCGCTGATACCTGGTGAGCTGGGATTTGAACCCAGGTTTGCTGACATCACTGTACTGCGAGCTGCCACTCGGGTAAACTCTCCCCACACCCCACCTCCCACCTCTCTGCCCCTCTGGGCCCATCTACAGATAGCGAAGCTGGAGCCCAGGGTCTCAGTGAGTGAGTGGCAGGCGGGGCCCAGGGTCCTGGGGCGGGTGAGAGGCAGGCGGGGCCCAGGGTCTTAGGGTGAGTGGGAGACTGAGGGCCCCTCCTGGCAGCACCCAGTGCACAGCCTGGAGGCCCAGGGTGCTGGGCAAGGTGCCTCACTCTGCATCAGGGGGTCAAGAGATGGCTGAGGAGCCATCGTGGCCCCCAGGGCTACCTGCATGGGGTGAGACCCACGAGCAAGGTCCCCTGTGCCCTTAGCCCTCTCTGTGGGCTGGTGGCAGACCCCCTAAAGCCCGTCGGGACTTGGGTTGGTTATGAACAGTATGGGCTCCACTGACTTGGGCCCTCACTGTGGCTGGGCAGGGTCCTGCCCCTGTGCCCCCAGGCCCTGAACTTGCTGTCCCAGCATCATCATCCTGGTGCCTGGTGGCCTGTCCGTTTCCTGTTAGACAGAGGGCAGGGAGCACACCTTGCTCACGGCTGGAGCCTCAGTGCTGGGCACGTCGCAGGTGCTCGGTAGGTTCCCAGTGGGTTGAAAGGGAGCTGGCAGGAGCTGCTGAAGAGTGGGAAGAGGCAGCGGGAAGGGCCGGAGGCATCAGCACTTGGTGACAGATGAGCACAACAGCAAGACACTATGCGAGTTTACCAGGCCTTCCCTGTGTGCCAGTCTCAGGGAGGCTGAATGTGGAGAAATATGCAGCCCGATCTTTGCCTAATCTGTTCACGTGATTGTATTTTCCCTGTGTGACAAGGTAACATGTACACAGACCACCGAATGGCATACAGCTAAATCCCACGCTGCTGTTAGGATGGCAGCAGCCCCTGGAGTGACCCAAGCAGTCACAGTGGCACCAGCTACTGTCCCTCAGTACCTGCTGTGTGCCGGCTGACTCACAGGGTCAGTCCTGTTGACCATGACCTCATCGTGACATACAGGAATCCTAGTCCTATTTTATAAGTGGGGAAACTGAGGCTCAGATAGGTAAAGGGACGTGTCTTAGATGTTTGAGCTCAAACAGCTACGGGGTGGCAGGGCTAAGCTAACCTTCAGACTCCGCATCCTGCCCTCTTCTGGCTTAATCCAGGACCCCAGGCGCCCACCTAGTAAATGGGCCTCTAGTTCTAGTTAAATCCAAAGAGCATGAGCTACGGTCACACCCTCACCGAGGGTCTGCTGCTGTGCCGGGAACACCGTTCACACTTAGCCTTCTCGCCGACCCTGCTACATCATCCGCCTTTTCCCAGGGAGGACACCGAGGCCCCGCCAGTAAGCGGCAGGGCTGAGACCCCATCGCACATCTGGCTATAAACTGGCGCTTCCCACGCCCGGACGCCGGGTACCAGCGTCCCCCAAGGACCTTGTTGGAAGAGGCAGATTCCCCAGCCGCTCTAGAGCACTGCGCTAGAATGGGCCAGGGGCTCTGCATTTGTCCCTGGCCGTTCTGTTAGGCAGAGTGTGGGGCCCTAGGCCCAGGTGTCATCGGGCTGTCACGAGGGTGCCAGTAGGTGGGGGATGGGCAGAGCCTCTACTCCTGGGGTCCCTGCCAGGCTGGGTCTGAAGGTCTCTGCTTGGCTTCCTGCCATGGGCCTTAGCCCTGAGCTCTGCGTGGGTGGGCTCCTCCTTCAGCCTGTCTGCAGTGCCCACTGGGAGTTCAGCCATTTCAGTCTACCTGCTCCTGGGAGAAAGGCCTGGCAGGGGGCTGGAGTCAGGTGTTTCCACCGTGTTGGCCTCTATATGTCTCAGGGAACAAGGCAGCTCCTCAGCGGGTGTGGGTGTTCCTCTGCTAGCCAGACATATGTGTAGTAGGGCTGGGCAACATGCCAGGGGAAGTGTGGACCACCCCTGTAAGGTAGGTACATTTAGCCCCATTCTGCAGATGGGCAGACTGAGGCTTGGTGTGTCTCAGGAAATTACCAAGGTCATGCTGCCGGTAAGTGGCGGACAGGGACCCAGGTGTGTCTGCTTCACAGTCTGCCCTCTTCACCTCTGTCTCATCCTGGCAAGGAAAAGGGGTACCTGGAAATTACTGCACTGAAGTGATGATTTCCTTATGTGGATATGATTTATTCCTTTCAGGGCACTTTTATGTCCATCTCCTTTTTCCTCTCAAGGTATAAGTATGAGGGTTAGCTGAAGAAGTTACCTTCTCCACCTTACAGATTTGGAAACTGAGGCCCAGAGATGGGAGGGGGGCTTTCAGGTCACTCAGAGCAGGAGGCAAACCTGGGCATAGACCCCGGGCGTCCTGACTGACGTCTGGCTCGGTGCTGCCTCTTTGCTTGCCGGGGTCACCCCTGCCCCCCATCCACAGTCAGCTGTGCTCGGACTCGGGTCCTGGGACTTTGGTCACAGACGCTGGGTGCCAGCTGACCAGTCCTCCCCTCTGCTGTTTTCCAGGGTCCTACGAGTGTGGCATCTGTGGCAAGAAGTACAAGTATTACAACTGCTTCCAGACCCACGTGCGGGCACACCGAGGTGAGTGGGGCGTCCCAGGGCAGAGCCGAAGGAGATTTCGTTTCCCACCTGGGCCCCTCTCGGGCAGCACTGAGGCCCTGAGAGCTCCCGGCCCCCGAGGTCTCCTCCATCTTCCTTCAGTGGGAGGGCGCCAGGCAGGAGAAGGGCGGCCGCCGGGTGTGGGCGAGCACAGGGGCGGAGGGGAGCCAGCAGGACTCGCCACCCAGCCTCTCCTGGGGGGCTGCCGCCTGCCCCCCGGCCTTAGTCCTCCAGGACACGTCAGCACTGCAAGGTGTCAGCGGCACGTGCTCGAGTCAGTGCGTGTGTTACTCACGGCAACCTTGAGCAAGGGGCCAGGCGGCTGCTTCCCATTCTGAAGATGAGGAAACTGAGGCACAGGAGGGATGGCAGCTGCCTCTCCCTGAGCCTGGCAGGCACAGGTCAGGGCCCGGCTGGCGTCAGGGCCCAGGGAGGACCGTGAGGCTGTCCCCTGCAGCTCCCATGGGAAGAGCCCTCCTGGGCCCTCCCTCGCGCTGGGCGCCAGCTCCCGGTCCATCCGCTCACTCCTTCCCCCTCTCTCTCCGCAGACACGGAAGCCACCTCGGGGGAGGGCGCCTCCCAAAGCAGTGAGTACTGTTCTCCTTCGTAGCTGGTGGGGCTGAGGGCTGGGAGGGAGGAAGAGAAGACGCTTGTCCCCTGCCCCTGGGCTGCCCTGAGTGGCCTCTGAGGGGCACGTTGCTGGGGTCCAGGCTTTGGGCCAGAGAGTCCTTATGAAACCGGAGCACAGTGACACAGAGCAGCCCTTCCCAAAGTGTGTTCCGTGGCAAGAAAGGGTTCTCCGGCCACATAACCTTGGGCAACCCTGGATTGTACTAGGATGGGTGGGTTCCTTTGCCGCGGACATCTTGGGACCCTTCACTGGCAGATGTGCCTGCGTGTCCCCAGTGGGGACCCAGCGTGTGCAGTTTCCTGTGTTCTTTGACTCTGATTCGTGGCCCTGGGGCTCCGTAGCTGACTTTGGGAAACGCTGCCTCGGAGTCATCTCCAAGGCACCCATGGAGATGGAGGCGGCAGTTGCTTATCGGTGATCTGCCCGGGTGCCGTATCCCAGCTGTGGCGGCGCGGGGCCCTGCCGTAGGGGACAGCACTCTGCTCCGCTGCACACAGGCCCTCCCCACTCCAGCCCCCAGGGGCCTGGTGGGCAGCTTGCCGGGTGGGTGTGCAACACCGAGCTCCGGAAGCCAGCGGTTCCGCCCCAGTGTGTGTCCAGCAGAAACGTGTGCCAGCGTCTGCCGGAAGGTGCCAATTAGAATGTCCTTAGCACACTGTTCCTAACAGCTCCAGACCAGAAACTGCCCAAATGCCCAGTGCTAGTCGAAGGGACGAACAAGCACATTCTCACGAAGGACTCCTGTACGGGAGTCAGAAAGAACGGCTCGTAGCCACACACGGCCACATGGCTGACTCACATTCACAGATACGGTGAGCAAAATAAGCCGGGCACAAAAGTTCATCCTTGAAGGTCCCATGTGTAGAAAGTACAGAAGCAGCTAAAACTGATGCTAGCAGAGGTCAGAAGAGCGGTTGCCCCGGGGAAGGAGCTTCTGCGTTCTGTGTCCTGAGCTGGGTGCTGGTTACGTGAGTGTTCTCAGTTTGCAGAAATTGAATGAACTATGCATTTATGGTTTGTACACTTTTCTATATCGGGGGTTAGCAGACTTTTTCTGTCGAGGGCCAGATGGTAGGTATTTTAGACTTTACAGGCCAGACGTCTCCGTCACAACGATCGGGCCCTGCCCGTGTCGCGGGAACACGCCAGAGACGTGATGTACATGAATCCCTGACCAGACACATGCTGGGCAGGGTTTGGCCCACGGCCCGTCATGCGCCAGCCCCTGTTCTGCGTGTTTGTTATACCACCATAAATGGTTTTTAAGATGATAAACAAATAGCACCCCAAAAACCGCAAAACCCCCAATCAAAGCAGTTGGAAGAAGGGTTTTAGCTGGCCCAGTCCTAATGGTGCTCCTTGTAAGGCACTTCCCGTCCACTCGCTGTCTGGATTGCTCACTGGAGGAGAGGCAGGCGGGGCTGCGGTGATTCCTCCGTGTTCTGTAGGGGAATCTGAGGCCCAGGTTGGCAGACACCTGCCACAGCCCCCAGCCGGGAGGAGGCGGAGGCCTCCCCCACCCCACCCCCCGCCGCCGGCCCCCAGTCCTGCCGGCCTGGCCCTTGACTCCCACGTCCCTCAATAGCGCCATTCTTCTCCAGCTCCCATGGTCTGCCTGCGGTCAGCCACACGTTTAAAGAACTTCCCTATTTATCTTTCCTTCCTCGGCTATTCTGGGCCCCTGGCCTCTCCGGCAGCCCCTCAATGAGCCGTTGTGTTCCGCCTGCTTCCGCTGTGCGCGGGCTGCCGGTTGTCGAGGGCTCTGCAGCCGGGGGTATTTTTAGTTCTTCCATCGCTTTTCCCTTTCTCCCGTGGAGTTTTCTCCCCACAGTCGGTGTGCTCTATTTTATTCTCAGCCCTACACCCCCTCCCTGACCCAGGCTGGCAGCGCCTGCTTAGATCGCCCGGTCGTGGGGTCTTGGAGCCAAAAGGGTCCAATTGAGAGGACTGAGTCCTCTACCCATTTTGCAGATGAGGACAGTAAGTCCCGGGGCGGGGGCGGGGGGGAGCTTGTTAGTGGTGGAGGTGGGCCTAGAAATGAGGTCTCGCACATTCTAGTCCAGAGACCTTTCATTTATTTGTTAGGAAAATAGTGCAGTCACACATAGAAGCATAAAGAAGCTTCTAAAGCATAGAAACATAAAGCATAAAGACAAAGCATTATTTGTTAGGAAAATAGTGCAGTCACACATAGAAGCATAAAGACGTATCCACTCACCCATCTCTCAACTAACAAAATAAAAGATGAGCCCCACATGTGATTCTGTTCCTATTGTCATGTCGATTCACTTTGTCAAGCAATATTGGGTAACATTTACAGGGTATTTATTGGATGTCAGGCATTCTGCTCCTTTATTACAAGCCTGGGAGCTGAGGAATCTGTCATTATTACCATTTTACAGATGAGAAGACCGAGGCCCAGGGGTTAGGGAGCGTGTCTGAGGTCTGTCGCACTTGTAAGTGGTAGAGCTGGGTTTTGAGCTCGGGTAAACCCAGGGCCCGCCTCCCAAAATGGATTTGCAGTGATATTCCTGGAGACACTGAGCTCTCGGGGGTTTCTGAAAGTGTGGTTTCACTGACAAGAGAGTACTTCGCCTTCCTCCTCTGAGGATCTCTCTCTTGCCCTAATTGACTCCTGCCTGAGGAGGGCCCAGGAGTGGGGTTCCCATCCAGGTCAAGTGGCCGTCGTGGTGTGGGGGTGCTTCTCAGCAGCAGAGGGTTGACGGTTCGTGTGGCCCTGAATTGAGGGGTGGCCCAGTGGCCGGGGGGGCGTGTGGCAGACACGAGCAAGAGGGCAGGTGTCAGCAGGCCTCAAGCAACACCGGTCAGTGTAGGAAGCACTGGGATTGCATCGCGTGGGGCCTAGGGGGGGAGCTTGTTGTCTGGGCTGGATGGCTGGCTGTGAGAAAGGAGGGAGGCCTGAGCCAGGGGTGGGATCCTGGAACCGCCAGCCTGGGGGAGGCCCCAGGGCTCACCTCATCTGCAGCCCTCTCCCCACCCCCACCACCTCTCCCTCGGATGCTTCTGGTACCCGGCATCCTCACGGTACCTGCCGGAGCCATGGCTGTGGGCTCCCCGCTCAGGGACCAGTTTGTCTCTAGGGCCCTGGTGTCTGCTGAGGCATTTCCAGAGACTGCCAGTGCAGTGGAGGAGGGGAGGGTGGCACTGAGAGGGGATACAGCTGATGTCATCTGTGTCCCCGAGTTCAGCTATGAGAGGGTAAGAAATCTTCCCACGGAATTGCCTAGAAACACATGGCGGGGATGGGGATCCCCTCAGAGCCTCTGCTCAGGTGCTGAGAGGCAGGAGAGGGACCAAGAAGGAAGTACCTGAGCCCAGGACTGACAGGCGGCTTAGAGAAGGGCCGTGTGCCCCGACTCCGTCTCAGCTTGGCATTAAGCGAATGTTTAAATCCTGGCGCTTCCTCTCCCCGCAGCCTCGAGCATGCCGCCGAGCCTCTCCGTGCCCGGGCATCTCACGGAGATGGCATCAGGCCTTCCCCGTGTAGCCAGAGGAATGTGCCCACAGGTGCGAGAGGCGTGCCTACCCGGAGAGGGTGGCGTCCCGTGTGTTTCCTGCCTCAGGCTTGGGGGAAACCTGGGCAGCTCACCCAAACTCAGGCCTGTGTCACTTTTCTATTGCTGTGTCTCTAAAACTGAATGACTTAAGGCAACAAATAATGGTTATTCCCCAGGTGCTGGGGTCAGGATTTGAGTGTGGCTTCACTGGGTCCCCTGGCTCTGAGTCTCTCACAGGTTGCAGTTAAGGAGTCGGACGGGGCTGGGGTCTCATCTCAAGGCTCGACTGGGGAGGAGCCGCTCGTAAGCTTGCTCACGGGGTGGTTAGCAGGGTCCGGTCCTTCCCAAGCCCTTGCACTGAGGGTCTCTGCTCCTCACTGGCCGTTCACCAGAGGCTGCCCTCAGCTGCTGGCCACCTGGGTTGCGGGGGCAGCTCACAGCATGGCAGCTAGCAAGCACGCGAGCCAGAGAGAGAAGCTGTGCTCAAGATGAAACTCACCGTCTTTGGTAACCTCATGTCAGAAGTGACATCCCGTCACTTATACTGCCTTCTATTCATGGGAAGCAACTCTTGAGGTCCAGCCCAGCCTCACAGGGAAGGGGTCACACGTGTCACGAACACCAGGAGGCAAGAGGATCCTTGGGCTCCATCTCTGAAGCTGTGGGACTTGGGGCAGGTCCCTTCTGTTCCTCAGTTTCTCCACGTGTAAAATGAGAGACTCCTTCCCCCCTCTGTTGTGAGAAGTAACTGAGGCAGTGTAGGGAAGAGCGCCTTGCTCGTCACAGTGTCGTGTGCATGGTGATTGCTATTCTTCTCGTGGGGCTGTTAGGGTGTGAGGGACCAGTTATGAACCAGGCCCTCAGTAGCTCCGCCTACATAGGGCAGGGTTGGGGGTTGGCTGGGGAGTCACTTCCAGGCTCCCTGGTCACCTTGTACGGTCTGGATCTCTGCAGAGGGCTCCGAACACCCCAGCGTCCACCCTGTGGACCCAGGAAGCAGCACTGGCAGCACAAGGGGAGGAGAAGCTGGGCGTTCAGGCAGTGGCTGTGCCGTGGCCCCCCTGGTCCAGAAGAGCTGGGCAGCGCCAAGGCGCAGACGGACTCAGGGACCAATTCTCCATGGGGTCATCCGGTTGGGGCCAGACTGGGCTAGTCCCATCTTTGGTTCCTGAGGCAGATGATCCAGCTAGAAAAACCCCACCCCGAGTGACCAGAAGCCCCGGTGACCGCAGGCGTCTTCCCATCCCTTGCAGACAATTTCAGGTACACGTGTGACATCTGCGGGAAGAAGTACAAATACTACAGCTGTTTCCAGGAGCACCGAGACCTGCACGCAGTGGATGGTGAGTCAGGCCCCTCGATGCTTGGAGTTGTGCAAAGAGGTGCTCTTCCTTGGGGTCACCAGCCCCCAACCCGCCCGCCCTCCCTCCCGCCCTGCTACCCAGAGAAATGTCTGGCAGCGGTCAGAGCCTCGAGGGGAGGGAACATCCCCGTCATACTCCACATGCGCTCGTATTTAGGTTAACCCAAGTAAAATCGCCGTTTTTATAGGTCAAAATCAGAAGAATATTGGGATTTCATATCGAGTCATTTTACAGTGTCATCTGATTTTTTTGCATTCACACGTTCTGCTGAAATTAAACCAATATTTTAAAATGAATGATGGCATTTTAACCTCTTCAATTATAGAGTTAGAAATTAGAACAGTAAATTGAGGTAGCATGTTTTGAGAGTCTTAAGCATCCTAGAAAGAGGGTCTTGGACCTGGAAAAGACCCTGGGGGTTCCCTCTCTGGCCCCACCCCCTGCCCTGACAACCAGGTCACCACTTGTTGCCGCTGGCTCACCCTTTTTCTCACCTCCTCTTATTCTCTCCTCCTGATGTCTTCCTTTCCCTCTTCCCTGGCGCTTCGAGTGCATGCTGGGGGCCTGCGTGTCTGCCCGCCCCGGGGTGGGAGCCTGTCCGCAGCAAGGGTGAGGAATTGAGGCACAGGCTGCGTCCTGGCTGGGACATGTCCTCCCATTGCCCCTGGCTCCCTGGGGCTTCCGCGCTGGCCCCGGAGGCCGACTCCCGGGGATGGACACAGGGGCCGCCGCGGACAGGCAGCTCTGGGCAGGGACTAACCGGCTCCTGTTTGCTTCCTTCCTCCTGCGGCCGCCGTCCCCCGCCGGGCACAGTGTTTAGCGTGGAGGGGGCCCCCGAGAATCGCGCAGGTAAGCCCTCCTGGTTGCTCACCTCCCGCATCCCCGGCTGGGCCCCGGAGACCTGGGGGACCCGGGCGCTAAGGGCCATGTGTTCTCCCACAGACCCCTTCGACCAAGGTGTCGTGGCCACTGACGAGGTGAAGGAGGAGCCCCCGGAACCGTTCCAGAAAATCGGGCCAAGTATGCGGGACTCTCTCTGGGGCTGAGGGCTGGGTGGGGCCGGCGGGGGCGGCAGGGCTGAGTCCCACTGCTGGGTGTGGGGAGGGCACGTGGCATCGCACACCCCACGGCAGCGGCACCCACCTGTCAGTCAGGCTGGCCGGGCTTAGGGCTTCAGCTTCCGAGGAGCTGCGGGAGGGTGCAGGGCCAGGGGCGGGGCGGGGAAGGCAGCCGGGCCAGGGGCTGAGTCCCGGCACCCTCGCGGTCTGTTAGCCATCCTGAACCTCAGCCTCCCCGCCTGTGGAGCCAGGGTGACATTTCCCCGCAGGTTTGTTGGGGGATTAAATGAGATGATGGATGTAAACCACCTGTTAGCACAGTGCCTGGTACATAGTAGGTGCTCAGAAAGTAACTGTCGCCGTAGTCATCTGAAGGGGTTTGCCAGCGAGTGGAGCTGTCCAGGGCAGCCACGTGCAGACACTCTGTCCTTGTCCCAGGAAAACCTCTTGAGGGCAGGAGCCACACACGTGACCGGCCTGTTCCTGGCAGACTTGTATTGAGTGCTGTAGGGACACAGCAGTGACCAGGACAGCGGCGGCCCTGCCCTTGGGTCTTGCACACTGCGGTTGGGGACGGAAACAGTGTCCAATCAAGCAGAGGTACAACACAGAGAGAGTGCAGGGGGCTGCAGGAGGCTCTCAGAGTGGGGACGAGGGTCGGGCTTGAGCCCGTGTGTCACACGCAGAGACAGGAGAGCACTGCCGGTTCCGAGAATTGATGACGAGTTGGGGTCTCGGGGAGCCTTGAATGCCAGGAGGCGGCATCTAGACTTCACCTAGGGGGGAGTGAGCCAGTGAGTTTACGAAGTGGGGAAGGGACTCGATCAGATTTGCCTTTTAGGAGGACTGGTTTGGCTGCTGGGAAGGGTAGGCTGGGAGGACCCCGTGGGCAGCCTGGGGCAGGTGTGGGGGGACCACAAATGATGGGAGCTTGTCCTTTCCAGCCCTGCAGGAATGTCCATACTTATTCATCGCTCTGTTTCCTGTGCCTCAGTTACTGTCAGCAAGGAGAGAGAGACCTTTATGGTCTCTGCTTCCTTACAAGGATGTAAGGCAGCTTGCAAAAATACACACAGAAACACAACAAGCGGATGAGGACAGGAAGGAAAATCAGAGGCGCGGAAACACTGAGTCGGGTACATTGCTCAGAGGGCAGAGCTCTGTCCCAGCCCTTAGAAGGTGCTGAGTGGATCCCCCCACCTGCACCCCCACCCTAAATGCTTTCTCTTCCCCACCCCTTGTCTGTGGTCAGAGCATGAGTCTTTGCTTTCTTCTTAACTCTTGTGAAAGCATCCAGGAAACTGAAGATGAGATAATGTCTATACAGTGGTTAGCGCAGTGCTTGTCACACGCATAGTAAACACTCGATAAACAGGAGCATTAAAATAATCTTAAAGATGAAAATGACGAAATCCTCGACACTGAAACGGCTGGAAGTTAGACTCTGCTGGGGAAGCACAGATATGAATCAGACATGTTCACAGCAATCAAAGGATACATAGTCTGGTGGGAGAGACAGACATTCGTAGACAGATACAGGACAGGGACAGAGGGATCTGTCCAGTACCTGCCAGCGGTCCCAGTGTAGCGCCACTCTTCTGACTGTAGCGTTATCATTATAGGCCTGGGAATCAGACAGGCCTGGGTGTGAATGCATCATCACCAGCTTACTACTTACCCCTTGTGATTGTCCCTTGGCTCGTCTGTAAGTTGGGGACAAGCACATCTGTCAGTTCTCCAGGGCTGTTGGAGGATGCAACCGTAGAGTGTCTAGCTGAGCACCTGGCTTGTGTTCAGGTTATAGTGAGAGATCTGACTGAGAGAGTCAAGGGCAGGCGTTCGAAAGCCAGCCCAAATATGAGTCCCAGCTCTGCACTTAATAGCTGCGTGATATCCTACAAATTGTCTAATCTGTCTAATCCACAGTTTCTTTAAAATGGGATGATGACAGTAAAACTCACCTTTCAGGATTGTCATGGGGTTTAGGTGAGATTATGTTTGTAAAGGAATTAGCTTAATCCGTGACATGTGCCTAGAAAGCCTTTAAATAAGTGGTGCCTGTTAATTGCCCGAGAAGATGCAGAACAAGGCTAGACTTGTCCTGTACTGTCTATAACTAAGTCTGACAGACCACGGGCCGGCTCTAGGACCTGGGAGGAATCATCACAGAGCATGAGGAGTGTAGAATGGCATTGAGAGCGCCCAGCTGGGCCTGGCTGCCCCTGAGCTCCTCCTGCCTTGATGGAGCTGAGATTACTGGTGTGAGCTGGTTCCTCACTGCCACTCTCAAGCTGCGCTGTGAGACAAGAACGCTGCTTCCTGGGCCTCTGCCACTTCTTGTCAGCAGGCCAATCCCACAGACCCCAAAAACATAGACATAGAATAAGGGAAGCCAGTAGAGGCACCCTGCATATGGAAGGGACTAGTTGCCCCAGGTAATGCTCTGTGGGTCAGAGGAAGAGGAAACACCCTGGCAGCAGTGCATGCCGGGAGGCACACATTGAAGTCAGCATCAGCTGAGCAAATCAGAGAATTAGGCAAAGCCAGAGTCATGACAGAGCAGGAGGATCCTGCTAGAAGGAGGAAGTTGGTCTAAGGAGCCTGTGCATCAGTTCGCTCTTTAGCTGCAGGTCTGAGAACTAACTACCATGATCCTGGGCAGAGAGAGGGTCCAGGAGAATTCATTCATGTTGTCTGTTGAAACAGAGTATGTCAGAGTCATGTATACATTACTTCATTTTATGCCTGCATAAGAAAGAGTAACTTGGAAAATTAAAAAAAAAAAAAAAAAAAACAAAAAACACAAACATGAGCACTATGAAAATTCCACATAAGAAAAAGAGAGTTTACAAGACTCAGAGGAAGAGCCTCTGAAAATGATCTACCACAAAGTGGTAGAAGAAAATTGTTTTTGACAAGCTCAATAGCATATGAGAAAATATGACCTGTCTTAGTCCACTTAGGCTGCCATAACAAAATACCACAGACTGGGTGATAAAAATAGCAGACTCATTTCTGACAGCTCTGGAAGCTCAAACGTCCAAGACCAAGGTGCCCACCTGGTTGGGTTCGGGTGAGGGCTGGCTTCCTGGCTTGCAGATAGCAGCCGTGTGTTCTCACATGATGGTGAGAGAGATGTGCACGTGCACAAGGTTTCCAGCATCTCCTCGTACAAGGGCACTAACCCCATCCCGAGGGCCCCACCTTCATGACTTCATCTCCACACAACTACTTCCCAAAGGCCCTATCTCCAAATACCATCGCACTGGGGGGTAAGGATGCAACATACGGATTTGGGGGTGGGGGCACGATTCCATACACAGCATGACCCTTATGAAAAAGGAGCCTGAAGTTCTATGGTGAAAAAGCAACGGGATAAGGTAACAAGGTAAAGAGAGGAGTGAGATGAGGAAAGATTGCAGGGAAGCAGAAATCAAGAACAGAATTAAAACCTACACTATAGATCAGGGGTCCTCCAACTTTTTAAACAGGCCAATTCACTGTCTTTCAGACCATTAGAGAGTGTGCACTGTGGGCCTAGGACGAGTCGGCTGCTAAGTAGTACAGGCAGTGGCGGCAAAAACACCTAGAGGGCTGGATAAATGTGCTAGGCGGGGGCCGTAGTTTGAGGACACCTGCTATAGATAGTAAAGAGCAGGATTGGTTTGCAGAAATGGAATGAGTGATGTGAAGAACAGACTTGAACACATGAAGGTAATGAGAGGAAAGCATGATAAATATAGAGAACGGGGGCCAGTTCCAGGGAATTGGTGTTGTGGACGAGTGGGCAGAAGCTGTACTCTATTAGATCTATTAGAAGAAAAATCTAAAGATCTATTAGAAGAAAAATTTGCTCAGCTAAAGGAAAACTTATTTATGCAGATTTAAAGGGCTTGTCATGTTTCAGAGTCAATATAAAGGACCCATACCTTAAAAAAAATATTTGATTATTAAGTATGAAGTGTTCAATTTCCTTAAGTATTAAGTTTGACAGTTCACTCTGACATTTCACTTTGACACTTCTTGTTTTATGTTTATTGAGAAGGTACATCCTCAGTCTTTCAAATGCACATGTTGGCTTCTGACTGTCTTTCACATTTTTTAGAGCAATTTTTTGTGAAACCATGGATAAATAAAAAATGTGTGTTATTTTCGAATATGAGTTCCATTGTAGAACCTGTGCAGCACAGATAGCTCAAAATATCAGTGAAGTATTTGGGAAGGATGTGGCTCATGAACACACAGTATGTTGATAGTTTGAGAAGTTCCGTCCAGTGATTTTAATCTTGAAAATGAGCCATGTGGGCGACCTGAGACCAAGGTGGATGATGATGAGCTGAAAGCTGTAGTGGAAGCGAATTCATCTCAACCTACGCGTGAATTAGCAGCAAGGTTTGACGTTACTATTCTAACTATTGGACCATTTGAAACAAATTGGCGAGGTAAAGAAGCTAGATAGATGGGTTTCGCATGGATTAAATAAGCATCAGCAGAGAGATCGTTGAAGCTTGCATGCCTTTGCTGTCATGACATAAAGGCAAACCATTTTACACCGTATTGTTACGTGTGATGAAAAAGGAATTCTTTTTGACAGTTGCAAACATTGGGCACAATGACTGGATGAAGATGAAGTGCTGAAACCCAGTCCAAAACTGAATATTCATCAAGAAAAGCTAATGGTGTCTGGTGGTCCAGCGCTGGTATTATCCACTACAGGATCATGAAACCTGGTCAATCAATTACAGCGGATGTCTACTGCAACCAATTGGATGAAATGATGAGGATGCTTACAATTAAGCAGCCCAGATTAGTCAATAGAGACAGGCCAGTCCTTTTGCAAGAGAATGCTCGACCACATATTGTACAACCAATGCTGGTCAAACTACAGAAGCTGAACTTGGAAAAACTCTGTCATCCACTGTATTCACCAGAACTCGAAGCTACTGACTACCACTTCTTCCAGGCATTGGACCACTTCTTGCAAGGAAAAGTATTCAATTCTCAACAAGCTGCGGAAAATGCCTTTCGTGATGTCATTGCCACTCGGTCTCCAGGCTTCTTCACTGCCAGCACAAACAAGCTGCTGTTAAGATGGCAAAACTGGGTTTGACAGTTTAGGTGCATACTTTGATTAATTGTATTACTTCTTGTTTGAGATATAATAAACTACACTTTTTATTTGAAATCAGACATTTCATATTTAATGACCTAATAGATCTGTGACTTTTTAAAACTATTAATATAAAGGGAAAAAGCTATACAGGGAAAAAGCTATACAGGCATCCAGGTATAAAAAAGCATATTATCTATACATAAGTTCAAGGTGGACATGCCTTAGACTTCTCCGCAATACTAAATCCCAGAAGATAATGGACCAGTTTTAAAGGGAGAAGGTTGTCACCTAAGAATTTTATATCTGGACAAGTTGTGATTTGTGTGTACAGAGAAAAGCAAAGGCTCAAAAACATACTACTTTTCCTATGTGCCCACCTTCATCTGTGTAATCTTCAAAATTATTTGAAGATACACTCTGATGAACTGAGTTGTAGGGCACATTTAAAGGCTCAATTATGAGGAATTTGCCGTGTAAGAAGACTTGTGAATACTAAAACCAGATAAACTAGAAGTCTAAAATGTTCCAAATCTGATTATAATATTGAATGCAAAGGACAAAAATTATTCTATAATATTAAAAATAGTTTTTTTAAAAAGGGGAGGAATTATTGAAGGATACAGTAAAGTAGGTCAGACCAGTCCTACCCATAGTGTGGTCCCAGACCAGCAAGATTAGCATCTTCTAGAAGCTTATTAGAAATGTAAATTCGTAGACCCCACTCCAGACCTGTGGGATCAGAGTCTCTGGGGCAGAGCTGAACAATCTATGTTGTAACAGTCTTTCTGGGTGTTTCTTACACATGCTAAAGTCTGAGAAGCACTGGCTTAAGCTACCTTTCTCACTAGTGATAGACTTAAAGCTATCATTTCCCACTTGGCTATTAAAAATTAGAGAAATATATCTTATCTACTGTCTAAAACAGTGGAGACTATTGGAAAATAATGGAATATTGGAGAATAATGGAAAAGCAAAGAGTTCATATATCAAACAACTGAAAACTGGGAGCAAATCAGAAGGGTGGAACATGAAAAAGTCGTAAAACCAAATCAATTACAGCAATAAAAGCAAGTGGCATAATCTCCCTTATTAGAAGACAAAGATTGTCAGGTTGATTTAAAATAATCCAGTTGTTAATCATTTATTAGAGACAAGTTTAATTCCTTATTTTCACTCTGTGCTTGGGCTTTTCTATCTTCCAAAACTAGATTAGACTTCCTATCATGGGTTTTTATAGCACTGTGTGTGTCTCCAGAGAGCACCTATCATGGTTACGGTTTTAAATTTGTTTGGGTCATTATTTGATTTTTGTCTCCTTTTTTAGACTGTAAACTCTTTGAGGTATACCTGTTTCTGCTCAGCATTTTGTGCCAGAACTTAGCACAGTACCTGTTTAATGAATGGAAGTACAAGAACATTTAGGGAAGTATCTTTAGATACATGCAAACAGTAGGAAGCAGGACCTGACAAAATAATTATCAAATTAATATTAGTACCAGATGAACTGATAAAGCAGAATAATTAAATGTTAGAAACACTGGTTCCTAAACTTTCCCATGCATCAGAATTTTCTGGAAGGCTTGTTAAAACACAGTTTGCTAGACCCAGCCCCTAGGGTTTTCTTTCATTTGGTCTTAGGTGAGAATTTGCATTTCTAACAGCTTCCCAGATGACGTTGCTGGTCCAGGGACCAGACTTTGGAGGTGCACTTTGTTGGAAAATAGTTCCATGTTAATGAAGAGCCCACTTCACGGTGAAGACTTTGATCCCATGGGCTTTATCCACCGAACAACACTGTATCTAAACATACAAAATGAATTTAGAAATACAGTGAAATGGAAGGATTTTATCACAACATTTAGTATTTGACAGAGCAAGTGGGCAGACAAGGTCATATGGAATTTAAATGGTGTAATTGATACAGTCCATCCAACAACTATGAAGCCTACAGCAAATAGCAAATAATACACCTTTTCTAGTGTTCATGAATGAGTTACAAAAATCACTAAACTACCAAAAATTCTAAATCTTCTCTATTGGGAGGGGAAAAGCCACAAACAGACTGAGAAACCAATGAAGAAAAAAATTAATTATATATAATAGAATGCTGATATCCTTAATCTACAGAAGAGTTTAATGATTTTTAAAAGGTAAACATACCTATAGAAGCACTGCTTGTAAACCCAAAGGGAAAGTCCCAAAAGAAAAACTGTAGTTAATTAAACATGAAAAATAGTTAATTTCCTCAGAAATCAAGGAAATGGAAGATAAAATCAGTGGCACAATGTAGTTCCCCTCATCAGATAGGCAAAATTTAAGAACATCATGATATTTAATGCTGGCTGCAGTGTACTGAAAGTCATTTTCACACCTTTCTCGTTGGGATGATGGTGCTACAGTTATCAAAAGCATTAAAAATACATCACCTTTTGGAATTTTTCCTGAGGAAATACTGTGCAAAGATGATGTGAGATAATCTTTGTTTTGCAATAGCGGGCAAAACTAATGAGTGAACGTGCAAAAATTTCTACAGGGATGTGGATCGCAGCGTTTTTTAACAGAGAAAAATTCTTGAAACAATCTAAATGTCCCTTGGTGTAGGGGACTGGCTCAGCAAATTCCAAAGTCCAGCAGGAACCTTGCAGCCAATAAATGCAGTGGAGATCGATATTTATCGATTGGGCAAGATGTCCACAAAGTTATTGTCGATTGACTACACCGGGTTACAAAGGGGATATTGATCAGGGCTGGCTAATTCAGGGCCCACAGGAGCCAGACAGTATCAGCTGAGAAGCAGGCCCCAGACGAGCTGCAGCGAAGGGTGGGGCTGGGGCAGATGGCAGGGTGCACGCCCTACCCCCAGGGGGTAGATACTACTCTTTGGGGATTACAGATGCTTGAAATTTCTCTTTATTTTTTAATTTTATATTTGTATTTATCCGTATTTTATAATTTTCCCCCAGTGAACAATATTACATCAGACATTTTTAAGAAGAAAGAAGTTAGGCAGTGCCAAAAGAGAGGTAAAGATAAAGCGTGGTGGGACCCAAGAGGAAAAAGTGACCCCCTGCTGCCAGTGGGTGGGGGTGTTCTTGGGAACAGGGCAGGTCCTGCAGATGAGGGGACCCAGGTGTGACCGTTGCAGAGGGCAGGGCTTGCAGAAGGGCTGTTGGCATGGTTGGCGTTGGAGGTCAGCTCAGGTCACCACGCATTTCTTGAGCACCGGGGCTGGGGAGGGAGCGATGAGGGAGAACAGCATGTGCCAGGTACTGTTCTAAGCACTTGCCATATGAATTTAATCCTCACAGCAATCCTATAAGGTGGTCCTGTTATTACCTCCATTTTACAGATAGGAAAACTGAGGCACAGAGAGGTTAAGGGACTTACCCAAGGTTACACAGGTCGACATGGCCGGGCTGGGATATGAACGGAGGCGTTCTGACTCCAGGGTCACAGTGGATTCACGTGGTGGGCCCAGAATGAGGAGGAGTATGTCGGGGTGGGTGGGAGCATGCTGGTGCTTCTGGGTGGGGACACGTGCCTGTTCTCACCTGTTCTCACACGTCCCTCTCCCCCTTGGACAGAAACTGGCAACTACACCTGTGAGTTCTGCGGGAAGCAGTACAAGTACTACACGCCCTACCAGGAGCACGTGGCCTTGCACGCCCCCATCAGTGAGTACCCCCTCTGGCTGGGGACGGGGGCCAGGTGGCAGAGCGGAGTGGCCAGCCATCGGCCAGGGCATGGTGAAAGCAGTGCGAGCTCCATTCTGGGTCAGCCTCTAGGTGTCCATGTCTGACCCAGGGCCACCAGCCTGCAGTGGCCGTAAGAGGTGGGAAGCCCCCTCTATCCCCTTAAGCCAGCAGAGGCAGAGCCCTCCCTTAGTGGACTCAGACGCCTGGGCCCATGTGGATTTGGGGTTAGGAGGGTGAGCATCACTTGTCCAAGTCCTTCAGTGGCCCTGTCCCCGCCGCCTCTGGGCACCTCCAAATCATGTGGTTCCTGGATCTCCACCCCCAGAGCCAGTGCCCTGCGATACATCTTCAGTCTGAACTAATGCAGGAAGAGCCCAGGCCAGGGGTACGGTTAGCTAGACAGAACAGCTCCTCTTTTGTCCTCGTTGGTGGGAAGCTAAGGAGGGAGCAGGAGCACTGAGATGGGAGCTGGAAGCCCTGAGTATTAATCCCCCCAGGGCCCCAGGCCTGCTTATGACCTTGGGCAGGCCCCAGCCTGTCCCTGGCCCATCTCTCACTCTTCCCCTGGCAGGGGAGGGGAGGGGCTCCAAGGACACTTGCCCTGGGGACATCCTGGCCCTCCATCCTCCTGATGCTTGTGGGCTCGCCTGGTGATTTCCATCTCCCTTTCTGGACATCAAAGGGGTACCCATCCTTAGATCCCTGAGGATATGAGCTGGGGGCTTCAGTCGTCCACCCTTTCTTGTACAGCTGTAGAAACCAAAGTTCTGGCAGGGGCGGGACGTGTGCAGAGTGTCGGGACAGCAGGGCTGGATGTGAGCAGCCTGTCTGGGAGTGTTTCTCACGGCAGAGCTATGGGTATCCCACGCCCCATTCTATGGCTGGGGGAGGACTTAGTTCCAGAGAGAGGGGGAGAGTTTACCCAAGGTCACTGGGGCTTCAAGCCACTTGCCAAGTCTGGGAAGGCCCATGACCCTCCTGGAGACCCGATAAGAGCAGCACAGGCAGATGGCTTCCCCCAGGGTATTTTGGTGGGAGGAGAGGTGTCCGGAGCTTTCCTCCCTGCTGGGCAGAGTGGCAGGGGCTGAGGGGTCTCCCCAGGGGCAATGGCTCCAGTGCCAAGGCCGAGCACTGGACTGGGATTCTCATCCTAGCTTGCCTCTGACTGCTGTGTGACCTTTTGCCTGTCACTCCCCTTCTCTGGGCTCAAGTTTCCCATCTATGAGAGCTCTTGAGGTCTTTCCAGCCTGGGTCTGGATTCCAGACAGCTCCGATGTGAGGTAACCCTCAGGCAGGCACCTGCTGTGGCCCAACTCGAGGAACCCATCCCACCAGCCACGCTGGGGGTGTATGGTTCATTGAGCGCCCTCCACGTAGCCAGGTCCTGGGTGGGGAGAGGATGCGGAGGTTCCACTGGGTGGGTCCCGGCTCATCCAGTTGACCCACTCACGGTGCTGACTGCCAGACATCAGGGCTGTAGCTGGGGTTGAGTTCCACAGCCTGGGCCGCTCTGGGGATCGAGGTTTCCATGGGCAGGGCGGGCCAGCTGTGTCCGTGCCCTCCAGTGACGCAGTGAGTGGTGCCCAGGGCACATGCCACCTAGGACGCGCTTTCACTGGGGCGTTAGGTCCAAGGCCAGCTGCAGCCTTGGTGTCAGCCTTTGGAGAATATCTTCAGTCCTGCTTCTGCTCTTCTGGGGTAAGTTGAGTCAGGTCATCGGGTTAGTAAAGGGGCAGCTTGGCTTCGAATCCTGGCAGGCAGGCTCCAGGCCCGTACCTGACCATGAAGCTGTCCCAGGTCACATGTCACATGGTACTGCAAGAAGGGGTGCGTCCCGGAACGGGCGCATTGCTTGTACCCTCATTTCTTCTCAACAGCCTCATACTTGGAAGGGCAGTCTGCTCCTCTTTCTCTGTTCCTCATTTTCTTGTGCCCTCTGTTGTAGACTCTCTCTTTGTCCTTCCGCATTTGTGGACTGAATCTATTGCCCACTAAAGTCTGGGGACTCTAGGAGCGTCTGTGTTTAAAATACAGCATGAGAGATTTAGGCTAGATCCAACACAGGACTAACTCCAAAGCTGACCCAAGAGACAGCCCCGGTGGTGGCCTCTGGGTATAGAGATTTGTGGGCTGACGGATTCTGTGTGGACGCCGGGGCTGGACTTGGGGCTTCATCAGGTGGTATCGACAGCCTGGGCTTGCGACCCTGAGCCTGGGGAGAGGATCTAGAAGGACGTGGGCCAAGTACAGAAGAAGTTCTTACAAATGGAGCCATTTAATATATATTCTTTTACGTCTGGCTCCATTGGCTCAGTAAAATGTTTTTAAGACTCATATCATGTTTTTGTATGTATCGGTTGTGCATTCTTTTGCAGCTGAGCAATATTGCACTGTATGAAAATACCACCACTTGTTTGGCCATTTACCTATTCATTTGGGTTGGTTCCAGCTTTAGGTTATTATAAAGCTGCTATGAAAGTGCTCGTATGAGGCTTTTTGTGGGCACATGTGTTCATTTCTCTTGGATAAATAAATACCAAGCAGTAAAATTATTGGGCCATGGGGGGATAGTATGTTTCTCTTTTTAATAACTGACAAACCATGTTCCAAAATGACTGTAGCATCTTACACTCCCCCCAGCCATGTCTGGGAATGCCACTTGCTCTGTGTTCTTGCCCGTGTTTGGTGGCATCGGGCTTTTGAATCCTAGCTATTCTAGCTAGTGGGTAGTAGTATGTCATTGTGGTGTTAATTTGTATTTTCCTGATGAAAATGACTGTATTTTCTGCTTATGTTGACCATCTCTGCATTTGCTTTTTGGTCATTTTTATCTTTTACTTTGGGAATTATCTGTTTAGGCCTTTTTGCCTGTTTGGATTAGGCTGTTTGTCTTTTTATTATTAAGTTGTAGGAGTTCCTTATCTAGTCTAATAGGTCTGGGTTCTCTGTCAGACATAGGTATTATGGAGATTTTCACCTGGTCTCTGGCATGCCATACTATATGATTTTCATATCATATCATTTGATGAGCAGATGGTTTTCATTTTGTTGATGTCCACTTTATCATTTTTTTCTATAGTTAGTTCTTTCTGGGTTCTACCTCAAGGCTATCCTTGCTTACCTCAAGATGGCAAAGATATCCTCCTTCCTTATTGTTTAGAAGTTTTATAGTTTTAGCTTTTGAGTTTAGATCTGTGGTCCATTTTGAGTTAACTCTTGGGAATGATCTGAGGTATGAGTTGAGATTCATTGTATTCCATACAGATACCTGGTTGTTCAGTACCATTTGTTGGAAAGATTATTTTTTCCTATTGCATTGCATTGGTACCTTTGTTTAAAGTATTTAAATGTGTGAGTTTCTATCTCTCCCATGGATCTGTTTGTCTATCTTCATGCCAATTCCATGTGCTCTTATTTACTGAAGCTTTGTAGTAAGTCTTAAATCAGCTCCTCTTAGTTTTTCAACTTTCTTCTACTTTTTAAAGAATATTTGGCTATTCTAAGAACTTTATTTTTCCATATAAATGTTCGTTTTCTCCAGTTTCCACCAAAAAAAATTCCAACTGGGAGTTTGTTGGGAATTACATCAAATCTATAGACCACTTTAGAGAGAATAGACATTGCCATAATATTGAATCTTCCGGTGCTTGAACATAGTAGTATATCTGTCTCTCCAAGTAGTTAGGGCTTATTTAATTTCTCTCAGCAATAGTTTGTACTTTTCAGAGAAGTCTTGCATATGTTTATTGATGCTACTGTGATTTTTAAATTTAATTTTTCAATTGTTGCTATTACATATAAACAAGCAATTTTTGTATATTGAATTTGTATCCTGCAAATTTACTAAATTCACTTATTCTAATAGATTTTTTTGTACACTTCTCAGGATTTTCCTTGTACATGTGGATGTCATCTGTTAATAAAGACAGCTATCCTTTTTTCCAATCTGTATTCTCTTTGTTATTTTTTTCTTCCTCACTATTCTGGTTAGGACACTGGAGTACCATATTGAATAGAAGAAATGAGTGGATATCTCTACTTTGTTCCTGATCATAGGGCTCAGTTTTACATTATTAAGTATTGTGTTAGCTAAAGTAGGTTTACATAGATGCCCTTTATTAGTTGAGGAAGTTGCTTTCTATTCATAGTTTTCTGAAAGTTTTTATTATAAATTGGTATCACATGGTTTTTCCCTACATCTATTGAGGTGATTCTATGGATTCTTATCTTTTATTTTATTAGGGTTGGTAAATCACATGGTTTTTTAAAAATAAGTCACCATGCCTATACTTTATTAAAATATATTAAGAATATCAGAAAGTCAAACAGTGAAATGAACTGAAATAAGTTACAACATGAGGATGTTTATTCTTTGCCACAGAATGACTTCCTCCTTCAAAGCTTCTTTTCTTTATAAACAGGATATATTTAAGGTATATAACTAGATGATTTGATATACATACATTGTGAAATAATCACCACAATCAAGTTCTTGCAGAGGCATCTAAATTAAAGAGCCAGGGTAGTTTGTATAGTTCATTTGTTTTCAAGAACATGTTTTCCACCCACTTCTATCTAAAATTCCCCAGGATTTTAAACTGGCTTTTAATATCACTCCCCAAACTGCCCCCTCAAGAGCAGGGAACTATAGTCCTAGGGTTAGCACAGCGTCCCATACTCAGTCAGTGGTGTTTTAATCATGGTCATAACCAAGACATCTGGTGAATTTTTTTTTTTAATCTTCATTGATGTATATTGTCCTACAATAAAGTGCCCATAATTTAAAGTATACAGTTTGGTAAGTTTCGACCTGCATGTGCACCCATGAAACATAGCCTAATGAACATGTCCTGTTCCTCGAGCCCTTCTGTAATCCCTCACTTGCCACTTCATCCCAGGCAAACCCTGACCCACTTCCTGTTAATGTAGATTAGTTTGCATTTCCTGGAATTTTACATATGTGGAATCTTACAGGGTGA